TGATGGATCATCGATAGATTTTAATAAACTCCAAAAGTTGTTAAACAAAAAATAAATATAATTTCTTTATTTGTATACTGCCATTCTAGCAAAAAAAAATTATTAAATAAAGAAGGGCTCCCATGTCCTCTACAAATTTTATTTTTATATGATTGTGTAAATTGGTCAGGATATCACATGAATTTATTGGGTTAAAATAAAACTTTTGCTTATTATAGTCTACATGATGCCTCACTCTACACTTTTACATTTACTATGGGAATTCTACTAAAAATTCTATTACAACAATAGAGACGATATATTTTTTCGCCACAATAATTACCTGAATCCCATTCACCCTTTATATTTTTCCATATACTTTCTTTATGGTCTCCATTGCATAAAGGGCATATTCCTGAATAATCATAACAATCACTATTTTTATTGCTACATTTAAGTGATAAATTGTTGAATTGCTTCAATGTGGTATAAATAACAAGATTTCGTTTTTCTTCTGGATCATCAGGTAAGATAGAAATTGGAAGACGAGAATTGAGAGATGCATTTTTGTCTATAAGTAATATGCATACCTCTGTTTTGTTTTTGTTATCTACAATTTGTGTGGGTTCAGAAGTTTTAGAGTTTATCTAGGGATCAAGACCAGTTTCTTTCTTGTATCTCTTATATAACTTGGAACGAATTTTATTAGTTAAAACACTTGGTAATCTAGTAAATTTATTATTCCATTCCAAATATTCGGGAGTTAATATTTTATTGGACTTTGTCTGTGTATTCATATTGTCATTTATATAATTGTGTATCTCTTTAAATTAACAATATTTAACAAAAAAAATAAGCCTCAGAGAGATATCCTAAAGACTTAAGTGAATTGTGTTAATATATGATAAATTTCATGCTATTATCTCAATTTCTACTTCCTGCTTTTCATATTTAATATAATAGGATCCAATTTCATATGAATCGGAGACTCTATGCTTTGCATATCTACCTTCTATATCTTAATCATCATCATGATCTAATTTGTATAATGGGCATGATGTCTCATCAGTAATCCTATAATAATCAAAATTAACGCTACTACCTTCTCAATATAAATTAGGATATTGATCCAATGTTTTGCTACGAAAATAGGATCAGTCATAAGTTGGCTTAAATTGGGCTCGTACATTAGTCTTATTGGTTTTTGAAGTCTGAAGAGTGCCTATCCTGACATCTGGCATTTTTTCGATCCAGACTTAGCCGGTAGATCATGTGAGCGTGAACAATTGTTCATGTCTATCAATTTTTGAGATTTGGTTAGTTCATCAGTATAAAGATTTATTATATTCTGGATTTGTACATCAGTTAGCCTAGAGATCGCATCAGTGCTAGATATAACAACTTTAATTTTATCTATTCCTATTCCTTTGAACAATGTATAGATGTTTTTGGCCTTTTGAGTCATTTTGCATATATACACTCTCTTTTTACCAGGGAGATACAGCTTCATTTCATCATAAATCTGCATTTTTGCTATTTGATCGCTAATATTATTTTCAGATCTAAGGATTACAACCTTTTTTTCATATTCCTCACTATAGTAATACCATTGTAATTTTTCATTCTAACTAGTTTTTTCAGCCTTGTTAAATAAATGTGCTAAATGGGATACAGAACCTGGAGTTAGGTCAGCATCAACTAGAATATCTGGAATGTGTTTGCTAGATATAGAATTCGGTAAGTATGTAGAATTATGATATCTAATAAATTCAAGTAATTCACATATTAAATCTTGTTCAACTTTCTAATTATTGGAGATTTTCATCCCCTTGATCTCTAATAAATTAACCTGTTCCTCTTCTATCTTCTGGGGTTCTATATGAACCAAGGAGGATTCCTTTGGAGTCGATTCTTTGACTACCGGGTTCCAATCTTTTGCCCGACACTCATTTGCCTGACAATAACTTTCCTGACAACCATTTTCCTGACAATCATCTGCCCGACACTTTCATCTGCCTGACACTTTATTTGCCTGACACTTTCATCTGCCTGACAAATTTATCTTCCCGACAATAACCTTTCCAACAATTATCTGCCCGACACTTTTATTTGCCTGACACTTTTGTTTGCCTGACACTTTCATCTGCCCGACAAATTTATCTTCCCGACACTTTCATTTGCCCAACACTTTTGTTTGCCTGACACTTTTGTTTGCCTGATACTTTCATTTGCCCGACAAATTTATCTTCCCGACACTTTCATTTGCCCGACACTTTTGATTGCCCGACACTTTCATTTGCCTGACAAATTTATCTTCCTGACACTTTCATTTGCCCGACACTTTCATTTGCCTGACACTTTCGTTTGCCCGACAATTTCGTCTGCCCGACAAATTTATTTGCCCAACACTTTCGTTTGCCCAACACTTACGCTTGCCCGACACTTTCGCTTGCCTGACACTTTCGCTTGCCCAACACTTTTCCTTGCTTGACACTTTCCCTTGCCCGACACTTTCGCTTGCCTGACACTTTCGCTTGCCCGACACTTTCACTTGCCCGACACTTTCACTTGCCTGACACTTTCGCTTGCCTGACACTTTCGCTTGCCCAACACTTTCGCTTGCTGACACTTTTGCTTGCCCGACACTTTCACTTGCCCGACATTTTTGTCTGCCCGATATTTTTATTTGCCCAATATTTTATCTTCTTGATGCTTTTATCTAAATAAAATAAAACTAATTAGTAAATATTCATGATTATTTTAATTATTAGATTAATTAATTATGC